GGTGGAAGAAATGTCAGAGAAGGAGTTTAGAATGTACATAGTTACATTAGGACAATATAAGGAGTGACATCAGAGAGAAAATACAGGCAGTGATGTTCACTTAAATAGATATTCTGAAAAAAATTAAGATATCTACAAAATGAAGAAATGAATAAATGAAATTAAAAATTCAATGGAAAGCATCACCAATAAAGTAGACCACTTGGAAGACAGAACTTCAAGCAATAAACAAAACTATATAATCTTGAAGAGAAAGAGGATAGTGAGAGAGAGAGCAAACACACCAGGGAGTGGATTTTTATTGGGGAACAAAAAATTCTGGGGAAAATCCCATCCAATGAAGATTAAGGAGGACAGTGTCCCAAGGTCAGGTGAGACACTGGGTCTTCAGGGGTTGTGGCCAGACACGCCTCCACACAGACAAGCCATTGGACCCGAGAAGGGTGGGGAAAGCTCTGAACACAAAGTTGTGTCTAAGCACCTTTCACCCAGCCGGGGAGGTGACTCGAATCACATGCAAGGATGGCCTCTCACAACAAGTCACTTTTAGAAGGAAACCAATTCAGATCTCTGCTGATTTCTTAAGGGAGGAGGTCTTGGAATAATATATACATATCTCAAACTCTGAAAGAAAATGGACACCAGCCAAGAATACTATATACAGCAACATTAAACTTTAGAATTGACAATGAAATAAAAATCTTCCATGATAAACAAAAGTTAAAAGAAATAACAACTAGGAAGCCTGCTCTACTAATCTCACTTTGTAGGTTATCCAGAGGTGCTAAATGGATCTAGAAAATTTTATAATCTGTTTTGAGTATCTAAAAAAAAGTTCTTTATTATTTGCAATTTTATAACCTGAGTATCTAAAAAAGTTCTTTATTATTTGCAATGGTTCCTTAAATCTCTAAAATAAAGGAAGCACAATTATATTCATTATATTAACTAAAAGGAACTTGTAATCCACATCCAAAAATAGAAATTTTTTTTGAGAAGTTGTAGTAAGAGCCAAAAGAGTTGGAAGAGGCTGAGTGAGGCTCATTAGACTGATGCCCTGGGGAATCCCAAGTCCCACTAAACAACAGAGGTGAATAAATCCCTGGAGAAGACAAATCTGCATCCCAAATCTCTCAGCCCTGCTGTCACCACACAAAGACATGGGTTTATTCCAGGGTAGTGCATCTACCATCTCCTACAGCCCCAGCACCTAGAGGAAAAGCATCATCACAGACACTGAGCCAAGCGAGGAAGAGGAAAGTCTTTATCACTCACAATGACCTCATTAGGACAAGAGAAAAATGAAGAAATGTTCTAAAGAGTAACTGCACTTTTCCAAGACTTCCCCCAGGACGAACTTGCTCAAAGTGAAAGATTTTGAAGCAACCTCAACTCATCAGCCCCTTTGAGCTGAATGATGACAAAGTCCAAGGAAATCATCCTACTCTGGGGAATGCAGCTGGCCACTCAGGAGGCTCTGGAAAAGGACACATGTTCTTAGAGAACACCACCAAATTCATGAGATGGACATCTCACACAAACACTATAAGATTTGCATTTAGAGCCCACAAACATTATTGCAAACAAGAAATATCCACAAGACCCAATTATCTTCTGTACTCCTGTGAGAAGTGTACCCAAAAGACCTGATTGGGATTTCCTAGAGCGCTTCTGGACACTGGACAGTGCACCTTCAGGGCAATCTCCACCTTGGGAGCTCAGGAGAAAGGAGAGTAGCGGTGGTTTCCTCAAATTTTTCTCTTACTGGCACTTGTGTTTAAATTCTGTTTTTAGTCTGGCATACAAGGCTCTCATATATACCTTTGCCCCCCCCCCATCCAGCTCAATGCTAAAACAGCAGGAACTAAATCAACAGTTAGTCCATCTGGGCCATTATGTCACTCAATCACACTGAAGACTTGGTCTGCCCAGAGTGCAATGTTGGCCCACCCTGTGCTCTGCATCTCCTTGCAAAACACAAAGCTGTGAATGAAACTAACTCTGAATGAAACACTGACTGAATGAAACTCTGACTGCTTTTCTTTAGATGGAGGAAGACCTCTGCCTCATTCTAAGTGGACCAGAACAGTTCAGAAGAGGATGCAGTTCTAGCTATGGCAAGACAACCTCCAGGTCAGGTGTACTTTCCCACTGGATGTGATACAACTGTCCCCTAAAATGATGAATGGTCTGAGGTGGATGATACAGCCACGTCCAGGTGCTAAGGCTGCCACACAAGTCTCTCCTTATACTCATCAGGCAAGTAGGATCAAGGGGGAAGTGCCTGGGACTCATGAAGCAGCCTGCTTCCCTCTCTAGCTAGAAGGCCACCCAGTGGTGACATCTGGATCAGAATGGGGATGGGTGAGCAGGAATGACAGCTAACATCAGTCCTGTCTATGGGCTCTATCCCTCAGCTGGTCTCAAGGCCTTTGCTAGGTTTTTCTGTGCTGAACATATGACTCAGGGTGAACTCAGGCCTTTCTCCTCCATCCCACCCATATTCAGTCCCTCCTCACCTTGGGGCTGCTCCTGTCCTTCTCCCCACACTTCCCACTCAGTACTTCCCCCTGGGTAATACTCATTCTAGGTCCTCATGATGCT